AACAAAAATCAACCCCATTCAAAAATGGACAAAGGCCTTACTAGAGCATTCTCCAAAGAAGATATACTAAAGTCAGAAAAAAAAATGTTAACATTACTAATCATTAGGGAAATGCAAATCAAAACCACAGTGAGATTCACACCCATTAGATGGTTATTATTTAAAAAGTGGAATAACAAGCATTGGTAAAGATGTGGAGGAACTGGAGCCCTAGTTCATGACTGGTGGAAATGTAAAATGGTGCAACCTCTGCGGAAAATGACAGCAATTTCTCAAAAAATTAAACATACCATAGGATCCAGTAATTCTGTTTCTTTTCATATGCTCAAAAGAAGCAAAAGCTGGGTGCTTGAACAGATACTTGTACATCAATTTTCATAGCAGCATTATTACAGCAGCTTAAAGATGAGAGCAACACAAATGTCCATCAACAGATAAACAAACAAAATGTGATACACACATGTAATGAAATATTATTCAGCCCTATAAAAGAATGAAGTTCTGTCAGTTGCTACAACATGGATAAACCCTGGAACTCTTACTCTAAGTGCAATAAGTCAGTCACAGAAGGACAAATACTGTATGATACCATTTATGTGAGGTAGTTAAATTCATAGAGATGGGAGGTAGAATGGTGGTTTCCAGGAGCTAAGGGAGGGAGAAATTAGGAGCTGTTGTCTAATTGGTACAGAGTTTCAACCAGAGAAGATAAAAATTTCTGGAGATGGATGAGGGTGATGGTTACATAACAATGTGAATGTGCGTAATGCCAATGAGGTAGATACGTAAATATGGTTAAAATGGTAAGATCTGTATTATGTATATATTACCATGGTAAAATATATATCTTAAATATAATACATAAATACATATTATATATTTATATAAATATATTTACTATATAGTACACATTTATCATATATATTATAAACACATTCGCTAATTAATTTTCCATTTGATATTTTATATTACTAATAAACTTTCTAGATGAAAAAAAATTTTAAAAGATCAAGTGTGTCTCACAGTTCTACTCAACCAAATCAGAGGACCTCTAGGAAGCTTTGTGGGGTGGTTCCCTCTGCTATCTATGCAGAAGCCAAAAAATAGAGAAGAGGTTATTTCAAAAACACCTGGTTTCTATCTAATGGATGACTATTACTGAAATCCAAAAAAAGGTTCACAAAGTTCTTGAGAAAATTGCTTCATCAGGTGTAGTGCCAGCACTGCCTAAAAAGACCAGGAAAAATGCAAAAAGAAAAGAAGACTATAAAAGATATGAAATAAGCCTTACATCTGGAAGAAATCAGATTATGATGATTTATGTACCTAACAGACCCGAAGACATAAAATCAGAAGTCAACAGAACTAAAGGGAGAAATAGGCAATTCTACAATAATAATCAGAAATATCAATACCCAAATTTTATTGACAGATAAAATAATTTACAAGAATATCAACAAGAAAACAAAAGGCTTAACAACCACTACACACAAACTAAACATTACAGACATCTACAGAACACACTACCTATCATAACAGATGAACATTCTTTTCAAGGCTACATGGAACCTTCTCCAGCCCAGACCGTAAAACAAGCCTAAATAAATTGAAAAGACGTAAACCCATTCTGTTTTTTGTTGTTGTTGCTGTTGTTTGAGACAGAGTCTCCCTCTGTTGCCCAGGCTGGGTGCAGTGGCACAATCTCAGCTCACTGCAACCTCCACCTCCCAGATTCAGGAGTTCAAGACCAGCCTTGCCAACATGGTGAAACCCCACCTCTACTAAAAATATGAACCCATTCTGTTTTTTTTTTCAGGTCACAATGAAATGAAATGGGATTTTAATAATAAAAAGGAATTTAGAAACTCACAAAATGTGGGAATCAAAACACAACCTAAATAACCAATGAAAGAAATAAAAGAGAAGCTAAAAAATACTTTTAGATGAGTGAAATATGAAGATACAACATACCAAAACATACAGGATACAGCCAAAGCAATGCTTAGAGAAAAACTTAGAAGTAAATGCTTATTACTATAAATAATGAGAGATCTTAAATTAATAATGTAAACATCCACCTGAAGACACTAAAAAAACAAAGCAAATTAAATCTAAAGTAAGCAAAACATAAATAAATAATAATAAAAATTAGAGCTGAATTTCATGAATCTGAAAACAGAAAAATCAATAAAACAAAAAGCTGATTCTGTGAAAACATTACCACAATTGACAACGTTTCAGCTAAATTAACCAAGAAAACAGAGAAGACTCAAATTATTAGAACTGGAAATGAAAGGTGAAATATCACTACGGACTTTTAAAAAATTAAAGGAATTAAAACTATGATGAACAATTGTATGCCTGTAACATAAAATAGCATAACGAATGACATGAAATTGACAGATTCTTAGAAAGACACAAAACACTGAAACTGATTTGAGAAAAATATAGGCAATCTAATAGGCCTACATCAATTAAATAATTGAATTTATAATAACAATAGAAAACCTACCCACAAAGAAAAGCCCAGGCCCAGATGCCTTCACTGATGAATTCTACAAAACATTGAAAGAAGAGCTAATACCAAGTATTCACAAACATGTTCAGAAAAAAGAAGAGAAGGGAACACCTCCCAACACATTCTATGAAGTAAAGAGAACCACGATGCCAACACCAGACAGACATTGCAAGAAAGGAAGACTGCAGACCAATACCTGTTACAAAGACCCAAAACTCCTCAGCAAGATACTAGCACGATAAAATCCAGCGATATATGACATGACAGGTAGAATTTATTCCAGGAATGCAATGTTGTTTTAACGTCCAAAAATCAAAAATATAATATACTGTGTAAATAAGTAAATAACATATGATCATCTCAATAGATGCAGAGAAAGCATTTGGCAATAGCCAACACCTTTCATGATTAAAAACATGCCAAGATTAGAAATAGATAAGAACTTCTTCAACTTCACGAAGGGCATTTATGAAAACCTAGTTACCATTACACTTTTAACTCCCACAATTCCATAATTAGAAATTCTTCCAGCTCTGGAAATAAAATCTGCCCAATTTTAATAATGAACATAAAATCAGAATATGGATTCCTCCAAAAAAATATACAAATGGACATTAAGCCTATGAAAAGATATTCAATATCATTAGCCACCAGTGAAATGCAAATAAAACCTACAATGAGATATATACTAAGGTGTGTGTCACATCCACTGGGGTGTAATCAAAATAGCAGATAATAATGGTGTTGGGAGAATGTGGAGAAATTAGAACCTTCACATACTACTGGTGAGAATGTAAGGTGTGGTCACTTTAGATGACAGTCTAGCAATTCTCAAAGGATTGAAACATACAATTCAGCGATTTCATTCCTAGGTATATATGTAAGAGAAAACATATTCACAAAAAAATGTATACATAAATGTTCATAATAGTATATTTGCAATAGCAAAAAAACTGGAAATAACTCCAAATGCCCATCAACTGGTGAATGGACAAACAAAAATGCAGTGTATTTATGCAATGAAATATTTGGTAATCAAAATAAATTGAGTACTGGCCTGCTGTGACATGGATGAATCTCAAAAACGCTGTGCTGAATGAAAGAAGCCAGTCACAGAGGGCCACATGTATTATGATTCCATGTAAATAAAATGTCCAATATAAGCACATCTATAAGAGATTGAAGGTACATTAGGAGTTGCCTACCGCTGAAGGGGTGGGGATTTTGAGGAGTGACTGCTAAGTGACACCAGTTTTCAGAGTAAAGAAAATGGTTTTATGGTGCCAGGTCTTATGTTTAAGTCTTTAATCCATCTGGAGTTAATTTTAGTGTAAGGTGTCAGGAAGGGGTCCAGTTTCTGCTTTCTGCACATGGCTAGCCAGTTTTCCCAACACCATTTGGTCTCGCATGCTCTGCTCATGTACCCCAAAACCTATAATCCAATAAAAAATTAAAAAAAAAAAAAAGAAAATGGTTTCAGGTTGATTGTGGTGATGAATGCAGAACTCTGAAGAAACTAAAAGCCACTGAATGGTCCCATTTACATGAGTGAATTGTGTGTTGGGTGAATTATATCTCAATAAATCTGTGGGAAAGAAAATGATATGCTTAACATAATTATTAGGAAAATGCATATCAAAACTATAATGAGAAACAACACATCTATTTTAATAGCTAAATTACATGTTTTTCACATCTGATACTACTAAGAGCTAAAGAGGAAGTACAGCGACAGCAATTTCTACAGTTGCTGGTGAGGATGCAATTTGGCAAACATCATAAAAGGTTATAACATATTTAATTCTAGTTACTTATTCATGTGCCTGGTGGACTGAAATCTCCAATGGAAGGCTCTGAGATTTATTACCCTCCACTTCCCTAGAGCTCAGCTCAGGGATCCTTGCTGGGTTGCTGCTAATAAATATGCCAGGAATTGGATTGAACTGGAGCTTCAGTCACACACCTAGAAACCAAATCTGGATTCTATTGAATCATTAAAACCTATAAAGGAGGCTGCATACAAAGGCTGAAGCCATGACTTGGTCCCATATGGACAGAGGTTGCACAAAGGCAAAGCCCACATCCAGGGCTTTGTTCAGCTATGCAAACCCATTACCAGGCAGATGCCTGCACATAAGAGGCAAAGCACACAGGTAGGCCGGATCAGTTTGTTTGATGAAGGTAAAACAAAATGAATGGTGGTCATTATTCTAACTGTATACACTGAGAAATTTTAATACTAAGTCAAGTCCTGAAGAAAAGATAAATGTGTCTCATAAACAAACAGTTGTTTTCTTCAAGCCAGGCTAAAACTCAAAAGTCTTCTGCCTCTGACCTGTGTTTACTTACGCCCCCTCCCTATACACTCACATCTCCTCACTAACTTCAGAATCTTGCTATTCAACTTTTAAAACAAGGGATGTTGAATAGGGCTGGTGTATTGTTACTCCAGCAGAAATGCAGGAAGCCACTCTGTACTTACGGTTGCCAGGCAGATGTCCTGCAGGCCTGTGGTTCTGCTGCTCCGACTCAGTCCCCATGGCAGTGTCAGATTTCTTGTTGGAATCTTGCAAAAGCATCAAAAACACCTTTCAGAGAAAAAAATCAGCCATGTATTATTTTACATTTCTATACACAATGCATTTTTTTCTTCTGCCTCAATTGCCTAATCCAATTGTGACAACATACACCAAACACACCCCGTATATTTCATTTAGCCATCTAATTAATTGGCATAACTCCAAGGCTATCTAAGTCTCAGCAAAACAGTTGATAGGCTACCCATAGGATGCAAAGATGAATGAAACTTGACTGTGAACTCCCAGACCCTTACAGGCTGATGGAGGCTGCCCACGATAGAGCAGTAGGCAGGGAGGGGACAGACAGTAACACAGTGTATCCAATACAACTCAAGTCTGTAACTCACTGTACCAGCATCCTAGGAATTCAGAGGTGAATCAGACAATAAAATTGCAATGCTCAGTTTTGTTACAGCAGATAGGATCTCAAACATGAAAATCCCATTAAACGTGTGCTTTCCATGGGCCATGATGTATCATGTCACTAAGGCAGTTAATTAAGTAGCTTGCTTGAAGTCACTTCTTGGTTAATAGTGGAGGCAGAAGTCCAACCTCAATTTATTCAAAGCAAAAGACTATGACTAAAGTAGCAAAAATAAGATGAGAAAGCAGAAGTGCAAGCAGAGATGAAAGGAAATGAGGTGGGCTGGAGACTTCCAGGCCCTTGAGCTGCACCTGAATTGCTGGCAGGGATTTATGGAGCGATGGAAAGAGAATCTCTAAAATAAACATTGGGCAGTGCACAAGAAGCATAAAAGTCAAGGAGACATAGCCCTGCAGCAGCCTGGTCCTAACTGCTGGAGCTCCACTCTTGGCAACACCAGGACTGGCTCTGTGTCTGCAAGCATAGGACTGCACCACCCAGAGTGCTGGCTGCCTCGTTGTATTAATAAAAGAGGGTTGATGATCACAGTATCTAAAGTTGAGCAGATGATGGCTGCAAAGTGCCAGGCACAGACTCTGGAAGCACGCAGTAAGTCTTCTATCATTCATGTGGTTAGCTGAGATTTTCTGAACGCCCTCTGTGGGCCATGCACCAAGCTAGGCACTGTGCACTGCCACTCTCTCTGCTTGGCATCATCCGATCATCCATGCATGTGCTTTCATCACCCCTTCCTCTGCACACATCCATAGAGATATGGGTCCCTGGCCCCTCTCCAAGTGACTCCTGCTGGGCCAGTGTCACTGTCCATCCAGCTGGTACCTCCTACTCAATGCTCTGGGTGGTGAGTCCTATACCTGCATGTACAGAGTTCAGCCCACACTGAGCACCCTGCCTCACTTCTGATTTCTGTAAACACAATCTCATCATTCTGATTTTTCTAAATAAACAAAAAGATATTGACTGTCTCTAGATGTTGCTGGGGAGCCTCCAGCCATAGGGAAAGATGGGGAAAGGCACCAGAAAGAAGAAGCCATGAGCAAGCAAGCCTTCAGGAGAGGCATGCAATCTCTCCGCACGTGGTTAATTAGTTTGCATGGAATCCTACTGAGCAAAATCTGCATGCTTAGTGCTAGTGAGGGGTCAGATGCAGCTACCTTCATGTGAAAGATAACCCTTTGCTGATTCTCAGTAGGACTCCAAGGAAAATCTGCAAACCTTACTACTATTTCAAATAATAACAAGAATAATAATGATTAATAACATTTCTGAGTATGTGCCAGCCATGTGACCTTGGACAAATTATTTTACCACTCTGTAACTTAATTTCCTCACATGATAAACGGTAATAAATAAGACATATTATAGGATTGTTGCAAGCAGTAAAGGCATTTATATATAAAGTTGTGAAAATGTTGCCTGGCATGTAGCGCGCTGGCAATGTCTAGGCTTAACAGTAGCTAGATAAGGATGAATAAGTGTAATAGGGTGTGTGTGCTGTTTCATCATATAATTCTCAGATCACTCTGATAAGTACTATTATCCCTGCTTAAGATGTGGACACTGAGGCTTAGTGCAGTAAGTCTTCACCTAGTGCCTTTATAGGGAATTACATTGAAAACAATAGAAATAGTGAGAATCAAGAATTGTTCATTGACTAAATATTTTCCTTTGCATCTTATTCTAAATGGAATTTTCATTAAATGGTCACATTTAACTATGACTATATGAAGCATATCTTAATAACTAAGGCATTATTGATAACAATAAATTCATTTCTCATTTTAAATTGTCCTTTTCTAACCCCTCTCATAAAAGGCTGTAGTTATATGTGGGGGTGGGGGGCAGGGTGAGTGGCTGTGTGTGTGAGTAGGTGTGTGTGAACATGTGTGAATGTGCATGTACATGTTTGAATGCACACATTTGTGTGCATATGTGTGTTGGAGGGGAAAACAGAATAAGGACAGAGTTTTTTCCCCCAATAATCTCACAGATCAGCAGGAGATACAATCAATTATGCTACAGCACTAGGTATCTGGGTACAATGCGTCTGAGAACTCTGGAACTTTGCCTGTGAATGGTGAAAGGCAAGTCTAAGACAATCAGAATGTTATGAGCGCCATCAAGTGGATGCTCATCTTAACTGCAGGCACACGGTCCAGGAGGCTCTGAGAATTTGAGAAAATGTTGAAGTTGCCCAAGTAAGAGAGAAGGCCAAAAAAGGTTACTGTTTTCAAAAGCAATATGATATTGATCAAAGAGTTAGAGTATTGATGACATACTTTGCCTCTGTGATTTTGCACTATAATTCTCATGCTGAATCACTCAGACAGCAATTGTAAAACTCTGCTGGGCAAATATCTCAAGTAACCCTAACATCCACAATAGAACATTACCCAGTGCTTTTATGAAAGAAAACTTATGAGAAGGCTCCTAACATTTCACTGAATTCTGGAAATAGAATTTCCATATTAGATCATTTTATAGTAAGTCCTCACTTAGTGTCATCAGTAAGTTCTTGGTCACAACTGAAACTTTAAGTAAAAGGATACACAGCAGGTCCTCAAATAATGCCGTCTCATTCAATGCCATTTTGAGATAACATTGATGAGGGAAAAAAATTGTTTTGCTTAAAGTCTCGCTTTCCAAGAACCCATCAGCAATGTTAACTGAGGTCTCACTGTATTCCTTCTTATCTGATACATGCTTTCCAGCACTATTTAAATCAATATTTGTACTGAAAGGCATTCTTCAGGTTTTTTAAAGTAACTCAAATAAAGGAATGTAAGCTCTTTCATTTCAACGATTATGAGGAGATACAAAATACTGCAAAAAGATTTTCATTAATATTATAAAAGTCCTGATCAAAACATGTAAACAATCCTTCAAGAGAGAAATAAGGGTTAAGCAGCTGCACGGGAAGTTATCTGAAGAAGAATGCTGGCCGGGCACGGTGGCTCACACCTGTAATCCCAGCACTTTGGGAGGCCAAGGCGGGTGGATCACGAGGTCAAGAGATCGAGACCATCCTGGTCAACATGGTGAAACCCCGATTCTACTAAAAATACAAAAAATTAGCTGGGCATGGTGGTGCGTGCCTGTAATCCCAGCTACTCAGGAGACTGAGGCAGGAGAATTGCCTGAACCCAGGAGCCGAGATCGCGCCATTGCACTCCAGCCTGGGTAACAAGAGCGAAACTCTGTCTCAAAAAAAAAAAAAAAAGAATGCTACGTTTGTGCATTTGGTATGGAATGGCATTTATACATAGGTCTTCCTCCTCTTTTTGGTGGTAATTTCTATCATTGTAACTGAATATAGGCTGTAAGCCAATTCAAATGGACCAAATAAGACCTACACTTTCCCACTTTCATACAAAAGGACTAGAATATTGCTTTTTGATTTTATCTAATGTTTTGAATCTCACTGAAATGACAAGCTTCTCAAGACAAAGGACAATCAAGTTGGTCAACCTACTCATTAATTTTTAGGTAAATTCATCACATAAAATAAATAAGAAGAAAAGAAATGATGAAATTAAATCTCAAGGACACTAACTAGCAATGAAAGTCATTTAAAATGTAACAAAATTATTGCTTTAAAACCAATGCCTATTGTGTATCTAATCTTTCTTTTCAAGGGACAGTAAATTCAAAAGTTTTGGGATTCTTCATTTAGGGCTCTATGTCTCCTTAATTCAAAAGAGCTTCAAGGTCTAAGCATTTATGACAGTCTAGTGTCATCTCTACACTGATTGTACTATCAATCCCTCAGCCTGGAGTCGTATGGTCCATGCTTTTGAGTTCTCTGTTTAAAGGGATCAAGCAGCATGAGACCCCAGATGTGATCAACACTTAAACTGTCAGTTTGGTGGACTGTGTCCTGGAGATGGTCAGTGCAAGGTACTTTTTTGCTTAGATGCAGAGAAATTTATGAAGCTGACCAAATTTCTATAAGACAAGGACAATGGAATCCAGCTGAGTGATGACATTAACAGAGGACGAATTTCTAAACTTGACCTACATGTAATATAAGATGTATTCTTTCAGTTTCCCAAAAAATGATTATTATTTTTTTTAAGATGGAGTCTGACTCTGTCACCAGGCTGGAATGCAGTGGCATGATCTTGGCTTGCTGCATACTCTACCTGCCAGGTTTAAGTGATTCTCCTGTCTCAACCTCCCAAGTAGCTGGGAATACAGGTGTGTGCCACCATGCCCAGCTACTTGGGAGTATTTTTAGTAGAGATGGGGTTTCACCATGCTGCCCAGAATGGTATCAATCTCTTGACCTTGAGATCCTCCTGCCTTGGGCTCCCAAAGTGCTGGGATTACAGGCGTGAGCCACCATGCCTGGCCATGATTGTTTTTTAAAGAAGCAGATGAAAACACATGAACAACTTAGATGATAAGAAACACTAGAGGTACTAGAAATTCCTCTCTAAACATGGAACTTTGGGCAGGGCTGTCCCCTGACATGCTAATGCACTGCATGCAGCAAGATTTATTATTTTACAGGAGCTTGTATGAATTTCCTATCACTGCTGTAACAAATTACCACAAATGTTGTAGCTTAAGACAATGCATTTAGTATCTTACAATTCTGGAGGTCAGAAGCCTAACATGGGCC